TGTTCCCCCCCCCCCCCCAGATGAGCTCTTTCAGAAAGTGGCGGAGGATTATGTCAGTGTGGCTGCTTTCCAGGTGATGACAGGTGTGTACTTTCCCCCCTGTAAGATTTTCTCCAGGCTCATGGTCTCCAGGCCTGTTGATGACTTGCCTGATCCCCCACCATAATGGTGCTGAGCTGCCACCTCTCTCTTTGACAGAGGACAAAGGTGTGGATCTGAGCCAGAAGGCAAACCCCTACTTCTACAGCTGTTGTCATCACTGAGTCACAACTCACCTGGCCTGGGAGAATTAAAGGAATTCCCCAGAGGGCTGGACCCCAACTGTTGTCTGGGCTGGAGTGGTCTGAGCTACTCCAGGTCCCCATGGCAGCAGAGGTGGCACCTGCCTATGCTAGCCTGTGGGACAGAGGCAGTATTGGGCTGACTGGGCATGAGGAAGATTAAGGGCTGATTTGAATCCCAGGTCCCTCTCCTGGACAGAACTTGTCCACAGATTAGTGGCTTCTGAACTGTAAATAAAATTAATGCACTGTGACTCAGCCCCTTCCCTACTGTGTGCACTGGGTGTCAGGACACCTAGTTTCTTTCTGGGGCCACCTGCCTGGCCTCACTTCCTTTATGAAGACATTTCCCATTTGGAAACCAAATAACTTTTTCATAGGGTTGTCAACAGAAACAAAGGGTTTTTCTTTCTTACTCTTGCTTTTTGTTTGGCGGTGCTGCTGGAGAGCAAACCCAGGGTTTTGAACATGCTAGGCAAGGATTCTACTACCGAATGATACTGCAGCTACTTTTATTTTTGGGGGGTGACAGAGAAGCTGGAGTGAAGCAATACAAGGCTCACAACTGAAGAGTAAGGAAAAACGCCTTAAGTTGTATCCAGAGATGAAAGGGTCAGCCACACCCACCTCAAGACAAGTTGGTTTAGCCAGCTCTACTTCACATGTCATGTCTAGGCCTGTGGCTCAGGACTAAGACTCAAGTCCTGAGCTTCCCAGTGACACCCAGCATGTACTTTAATGATAAGGAAACCATATTTCTGCAAGACAAAAGGTTGTGTGGATCCAAATTCAGATCCAGTTTAGCTGCTAACTTAGCAAAAGAGACTTAGTCTGGGCATGGTGGCTCACTCCCAGGACTCAGGAAGCAGGGCCAGCCACGGCTACATAGAAATACCGTGTCTCAAGAGGAGAGGGGGTGGCAAGAAGTCTTCAGCTTAAGTTTCTCACCCATAAAATGAGGTATCTACCAACTCGCTCAAGACATGAACATGAAATAAAAAGCACTTACATAAACACTTTCTCACATCCCCCCCACCTTTTTTTGCATTACTGGGGGGGCCCTAAAGGCCTTTTTTTAAGGGGGTCTTGAACTAGGATGGTGGGGGGGGGCAAATTCATTTAAGGTTCTCGTGAAGTATTAGGCCTTCCAAATATTTTTGAAAGGCTAGGTATTTTGGTAAAAAGGCAAACACTTCCTGTTTAAACAGAAGGAAGTACATTGCAGCCATTTCCAGTATTGGTGTGGGGGTGTGTCTCCAGCTAAGGGCATGTTCCCTCTTTGCCTGATTTTCTGTTCAGGCCTTAGCCAAAGTCCTGCAGGGTGCAGTACCTGCCTTTGAAGAATTCAGCATGATCTCGATATGGCCATACACCCAGAAAACGTTCTGATAGCAGGTGTAACAAGTAGGGCATACTGGTGATCCAAGCAACTGAGAAGCTATGGCTGGGGGAAGACAATAATTTGAGGTCAGCCTCAACTACATAATGAGAATTGTCTCAAAAACAAAAAACTCCAATGTATTCCATTTCTCTTTAAGTGAAATTCCTCAAGACCCTTCCTTGAACAGTGGAGGATTCCCTTGAGGGAACTGAAAGTGACACCAACCACTTCCAAGAGATACTTAGGCATCTGGAGGAAACCCATGCCACTCCATCAAATGCTCGGAGGAAGGGCTCAAAGTTGGTTTCTGCTTTTCCCAAACCAGTCCTCTCTAACATCTCCCCAGAGACAATAAAAACACAGGGCAAGGGCCATAGGAGTAAAGTTAAACTTTACTTTACAGTATTTTTTTTTCTATATACAAAGAATTACAGTACATGTTTATGGGGACTCCTAGCACAGGGCTCCCCTCTTTCACTAGGAGGTTCACTTCCAGCTGACAATCTGTGTGGGGGGGTGGTGAGAGAACACAGTGATGGACCTTGGCTGAACCCTCTCCCCCACTTCTTAAAAATACAAAGATGGCTCTCTCGTCAGCTTTCTTTGCCAAGACCTAGAAAGCCACTCTTCCATGAGCTCTTACGTGCTGCACTCACCCAACCCCACATTCAAGGACATACATACAAGGCAGCACCACCACAGCCTAGAGATCACCTGGTCTGCCCACCCTGCAAGGCTAGAACACTGGGACCCTTGATTTTTGTTCTGCACCCCTGTGTCTGCCTGTCTGCAAAGCTGTGCTAAACTTCCAGGTTTAAAGTTCCTGGAGCCCCTGGTCTGATGTTCCAACATCCTAGGAAGGCAGCTCTAGGGTAAGAACCACAAGAGTTTAATGTGGCATTTTGCTTATGCTGGTAAGGAAATACCTCTTTTGAGGCTGTAGGTGTCTAATTAAAATAGACTATTTCCTTAAGAAATACTATCCTTATTTTTCATAAGCAATCGAGATGCTATGAGTGTGGAAGAGGTAGAGGATCAGTTAATGGAGGGAGACCCCACACTCACAGCTCTTTTCCAACCTGTTCCAGGCAGGGTGGACAAAGGCTATGGACAAGGTGACCCTAGTCCTGAGAAACTCACCAGCCACCATCATCTGGATACAGGACCTCTTCCACCTCTAGATTGTACTGCACCACTCCAGGGTTGGGTTGCATGCCTCACCGAGGCTCTGCCTTCTCCCTACCTCTTACAGAGCTTAAAGGAACCTACATAAAATATCTTCTTCCCAAACAGGAACGTGGGTTTCCATGTTGCCAGTCCCTCAATCCTTGGCAGTGCTTATTTATACCATGAGATTAGCACCATCATTACGTTTTGTGTACAAAGCAATTCATATTTCAGTTTACACTAATGCAACTTTTGCACTGACCTAGGAAGCTCAGCTGAGAGCAAACTGGTCCTAACCAATCAAAGCTCCTGCAGCAGCTACCTAGCTTTAAATGACCTGGGATGTCTAACACAGACAATTTTAGTAGGAAATAGTCTTGAGGCAGCTTCTGTCCTGTTGTGATCTTGGAGGTTAGGACACTGGGCCTCTCTTATCTAATGAGGAACACCAAGAGGATGACAATATCCCAAGAAGTCTTAAGAAAAAACTCACTTTATTGGAGCTAGGGGTGAAACCCATCAAATGTAGTGCTCTCCCGATTACTCTGCATGGAGAAATCCTTCCTGCCCTTTGGTTCTCCTGGAATCACACTGGAGAACCTGGGAGTCTAGCTTTAGTGAGCTGACAGTGCAGAGCTGTGAAGGCTCACTACTGTATTTCATGCCCTGACTGTAGTGTGGGAGGTAAAGGATACAAAGAATAGAATTCTGTTTGCCAATGCTAAAGATGTAGATTTGGTTCAAAAAACTTAAGTGATTTAAATCATTTCAAACTAACTTTAGGGAACGAGGCATTTTAAAATACGGATGTTTTGTAATGCCAAAGATGTGGATTTGGTTTAAAAAAATTAAGTGATTTAAGTCATCTCAAACTCAGTAAAAACTCAGTAACTTTAGGGAAGCAGACATTAAAAAATATAGATATTTTATAATGCCAAAAATGAGGATTTAGTTTTTTTAAAAAGTGATTTAAAATCATCTCAAACTCAACAACTTTAGGGAAGCAGACATTTAAAAATACAGATGTTTTGTAAACAATGTTTTCTATAAAATGGGTTGGCTCCAGCAGGAGGAACAAATAAGGCTTTGAATGCAATTTTCAATGACTCAATTTTTTTCCTAGCTTACAAGAGAGGTATTAGTTACTTATGGAGCATTTCTGCCTTTGATTTATCCCTTGAAAATACTTTCTAGGGAGCTGGCTCATGGGTAGACTCTCTGGACATCCTAATTCTAAGCACTTAGCCAAATGCCAATGCCAGAATACCACCCTGTACAACAGTCAGAAGTTTCTAAAAGATTTCCTTCACTGCCAATTCATATTAAGGATCTTCATACAGGCTTCAAGAGAAGTACAAAAGAATAGCAAGGTCACCCTCTTCCCACCTGAACACAAGTCATTTCCCAGCACTTGGGCTTCTAAATGGATAGTGACTGCTGCCATTACTTTAACACTACTCAGATGCTGTAAGTGGGTCTCAGCTCGAATTTCTAGTTTCAAGAACCTGAGACTCTTTAATAGCCATGGATAGAAGCTTGCTTGTCCATTAGGAGGACTGTCTTGCTCCCCCCGCCCCCCAACAAACGCCCAAATACACAGCTCAGAAGTTGTTTTCTCAGGCAGGTCTGGAATGAAGGCTCCAATGAATGGTGGTGAATGGAAAATATCAAAACAAAACCAAAGTGGCCAATCATGCATGGCCCCCTATCCCTCACTCCCTCCTGTCCTGTGAGATATTTCTGGATAGCTGTCAAAGCCAATTACCTACTGAAGCCTACTTTAGAGAAGCTATTTCAAGACCAAACTTCTCCACTTAAAATTTTTACATAGCCTGCAACCCCTCCCACCCTCCCACCCCCAATTCACAGTTTATTTAATGAAACAGAGCTACGGTAGTCAAACACACAACATAGTGAAAGGAGATTCTGACAGTGCAGTGCAGATACCTTTTTCTGATCACAACTACAGATGACAGGAGATCAAAGGGCACAGGACTGGCACCAAGCAAACCTACTCACACAACCTAAGGAATCAGGGAAGGGGCCTAACTAGCTGCATTTATATACTTATTCTCACACATGATAAATACTTAATATAGTGAACTTTAATGTTCTGGTTGAATTTCTTTAAAAATATCTTTATGGTTTAAAATTCTTTTAAAAGAAAATAAGATGCTTTCTGTTTTCTCTTCCTTTTAAACAAAGAGCTTTTCCACTCTGATGATGTGGGAAGAGATGATGAAAGGGGAGAACTAGGCAGGTGGAATTCACAGAGGAGATTCCGAGGTTTCAGTGAAATGCAGGGATTAGGTGTCCAAACTTGGGACAGCCCTGCCTCAGCCTCATCCATCTGCCTGAGTTCAAGTGTCTCAATCCCAGAGACAGACTTTGGGAAATAAAAGCATATTCTACTTTTACTTTTTATATAAAGCGCAAATGCTTCTATAATAACTACTGTTCCTTCCTCTTGAGAAGTGAGTTAACTTCAACAGGAATTTAGGGAGGAGGAAACTGGGGCAAAATACAGAACCCTGCTGAGGGTGAAAAACTGTAAAGAGAGAAAGGAGATGGTGATGGTGGCTAAATATGCTGGCTAAGTTGGCAAAGCAAACAGGTAAACACATTTGGTCTAAGGACAAAGGACAGGTGGATTTGATGGAACTAGCCAAACAGCACTTTCTGTTGGCAGTTGGGTGAGCTGGGGAAATGGTAGGGCAGGGTAGCACCAACAGATTTCCCAGCCCTTGGGCCCCAGCTCAGGGCAGCAGTAACAGATAATCAGCAGTTGAGGAGTCATCTCTTAGACTGGACATTGCTCCAAACACCACATCTCTCTCCAGTCTTAGGAAAGGGTTCTGGCTTGCCACTGAGCGGTTACCAGGCATGTGCTCTCCATAATAGAAAGTACAGCAATAAAGGGAGGTGAGGTGGGCTTCTTCCTTTTGGTTTGGAGGGCACAAGACTGGGAGTGAAGCAATTTTCCACCAGGCTTTCTCACTTCTTCAAAGTGGTGTGTCTTTCTTGGAGCTTGCCAGAAATTCCCTAAATCCACTGCCCGAGACTGAAATCTGAAAGCACCTGAGTGTTAGAGGAAATGGGGATGGGGTTCTTGTAAAAGGATAATTGGTAGAAAAAAAAGGTAAATTTGCCAATTGCCCTTGTCCATTTCTGGGACACTACATTCTCAAGAGTCTGTGCTCCCTCTAACCAGACGCTCCTCCAAGGACAAATCCTCAGACTGCCTAACAGAGGTGGCAGCAGCTGCCCCAGCCAACAGCTTACCTCGGCCTTGATGCAGCACCTTTCCACCTACAGAGAAGAGCTTTTCAGGTCCATGGCATGCACATATATGCATGCACGGTCAACCAGGAGACACATGTTCAACATAGACACTTTTGGGGGCCATAAAAAACCATTTGAAAATGAACCTTGAAACCCAGGGCCTCTCAGTACTTTCTGTTGTTTCCTGGTCAGAGGTCCCTGAAAACAGCCTGGGAACCCAATAAGGCAAGATAGGCTCATAGGGATCAGGCTTTATGTATTTCTGTATTTCTCATCAGTGTCTAGCCTCCTGGCCTAGCATATGCTAGGACCATATCAATGCTCAGGAAATTGCCTCTGATCTAAATGAACATTAGATCCTCCTAAAGGCTTATCAGATGCTCTCAATGGGGTACTGCAGGGCTAGGAAAATAGCTTTGAGAGCCCCCTATTCTTTCAAACTTGACCAGTGGAACTGAATTCCATTCTTGATTCCAGAGTGGACTTTTTATTTTAAGTTGACCATATGTAAAAGTTACGGCAAAGAGACTCAAGTCTGTCTGTCTCCTTGACCTGGGGCCCAATGGATTTCCATACATGGTTCACACAACCACAAGTTCCCATGGGCTGATGTCACCAGAGTTCTGAGTGTTGGTATATAAGGAAAGAATAACAGTGAAAAGTGTTGGGGTATGTCTGTTTTCCAAGAAATAAAAAGATCCCCCTCCCCAAATGGTACCCTGGGGACAGCTTGTCTGGTTATGTGACATTTACTGATATTATTTCTTTTCTGACTCTGCACATTTGCGACTAGAAGGAGCCTGGTTAAGAGCTTGAAGTGTATTTTGCTCTGGTTTGGGGTCTTGCGCTCTTCCAAGGGACCAGCAAGTTTGTGCCAATGTCTGTGTGCCCCCAGCAGACCAGCAAGACTGGGCTAGTGTTTGTCCAGCCACTATGGGCCAGAGCCCTGCCCCTGGCGAGGATTTTCCCAGGCCCCATGGACTGTGTTCTGTGGTTGCCAACTTCTTCTCTTCTGTGGGGAGGGAAGCTGAGACCTTCCCAAGAGACCTGAAGGACTGCCCACTCCTGGCAGCAAGTCCAGGTAGTTGGTGGCCTCTAGACATCTGCTTCACCTGTTTTACCAGGCCTGGAGCTTGGCTGGGAGGCCCTGGGATCTGCTCAGCTCCTGCAGGAGCTCTTCCTGAGGCTTGAATTGCTGATTCATATAAAAAAGCCTTGGCAGGAGGTGGAGAAAGAAGTCTAGCCTGGGTGAGTGATTTAACAGCTTGCCAAGGGTGTTCTGAAGGGGCTGCTGCTTTTCCAGGTGGTTGGAGAAGGGGATCTGATATAGTGCCTTTCTCCACAGCTCGTGGCATATGCCCCAGACCTTTGCTGGAAGGCCAGGAGCTTGATTCCAGCATTGGCATCTTTTCATCAGCCTGTGGTGTGACCTCATGAGGAGAAGCAGCCCGCTCCTTCTGTCGAGGAGTTAGGTCTAGGAGATCCATCACCAAAGCAGCTCTGTGTTTTGATTGAGTGTTCTGGTCTACAGGCCTCAGTGCTTTCTCTTTAGCTACCAGGGACTGGACCACAGCTGACAGTACTTTCTCAGGAGGTGGAAGTCTCTGGGACAAAGAAGCATGGGATTTGTCTGGGGGCCTGTCAGAAGTCTGGGGTTTGGGACTGCTGGTAGCCAGCAGCCTGTCTGTTGGTGAAAGTCTCAGGCCAGCGGGAGCTGGGGTTTTCTCCAGTGACTGGGACCTTGGGCTGGCAGCACCTATGGATTTATCCAGCCTTGGGTCTGTCATTCCCAAAGGTCTTTCCAGTGGCAGGGACCTGACTGAGGATGAGGAGCTTGGGTTGGTCATTGGAGAGGTTTTGTCAGATAGCTGAGGTCTTGGTCCTTCCATAGCAGGTGGTCTGTCCAGTGGCCTCTGGCAGGATACCAAAGACTGGGATTTGGTCCTTGACTCAGCAAGGTCTCTGACCCTATCTAAAAGGTGGGAACTAGAGTCAGTTCTCTCTGGAGGTCTTTCAGGTAGCAGTGGCCTCTGACAAGTCCCTGTCAGAGTTTTTTTGGAGAGTGGCAATATCTGGGAGGCATCAGTAGGTGGCTTATCAGACATCTTGGACCCCTGAGTAGCCATTGCTGATGACTGTTCTGCCAGGTGAGTGCTGGGGCTTGGAGGCAGCGGTACTGGGGGAGGCACATACTCACGGATCTCCCCTGGTTCCAGAGGGTTGGGCCCACAGGGATCATGTTCAGTACAAGACAGGCGCCCATCGAGCTTAGAAATGAAAAGCATCCCTTCTCGATGCTGCTTGCAAAAGGAGCTGGGGCACATCTCACAAAAGGAGGCTGCTTCTTTTCCACAGACATCACACTGGTGCCAAGGACACTCCCACTTCCCTGAAAAGAAGAGTGAAGGAAAGCTTAGAGAAAATAAGTGCATGTGAGATGGACCATGGCCCTGGGACTGGTCCACAGGAGTGGCTGCAAAGCCTCCTTCAAACTGCCACATTCTTCAGAGAGTTCTTGCCACTCACCTGCCATTACTCCTTCCCCAGAATTTCAGCTTCCTCTTCTGCACAAAACAATATATAAAATAACAGCAAAGAATCAAGGTTGAGTAACTAAGCATTAACTAAATACAACTAAGAGACTATTTCTAGCAAGAAGGGCTGTACAGTAGGAAAATCATCCAAATAAAACCCAAAATTCCTCTTAGACGAAACATTTAGTAACATTTTCAGATTTTTGTGAATTGTTCTAGATAGCCTTTATTATTTAGGTTATTGGTTTGTTTTTTTGAGATAGGGTCTCACACTATGCAGCCCAACATTACCTTAACCTAGATATCCTTTCTAAGTATACCAACATGCCCAGCTCTAGAAAGCTTTTAAATATTCCACCCAGCCCTAGACAGCTTTTAAATATTCTACTAAAAGAGGAACCAGCTTTTTACATTGCTTATTTTGTTAGACAGTAATAAAATATATACAGTTGCAAAAAAGGGGAAGCTGACTCACCTTTGCTGAATTTTAAGTCTTGAAACCAGGACAAAATTTTATCTGGATTATCCATGAAGAATCAGTGGAAAAGGCCTAAAACTAACTTGAACATATATCTACTTCTCCCCACTTCATGAAACCTGAGTTTCAACCATGGAAAGTGTTTTCATCTCTAAATAAATTATACTAGACCTCATGTTGGAACACAAGGAAGATCATATTGATTGCATCCTAGGCCATTTGATAGCCCTAAGTCATGATTCTGAAACAATTCCTTATTTTCATTTTCTGGTACTGACAAGACAATGGAATGGCTCTACCTTCACTCTACTTGACTTTCTGTATTACCACCCTGGAAAACACAAACTGAAAGCCAATTCCCCCTGACTTCCACTTCAAAGATCTCTACTTCTGTACTTCTTGGAAGCAGGCCATCAGTGATGTATAGTAACTTCCCTCTAAAATGGCTCTCTAACAACACTCTCTAAAATCCTAAGCCCTAAATCACTGCCCAAAGGACATCAACTTCTCTCACCATAATTCCTAAGTATTGCATCTAACTGAGGGTTCTCGTGTGTAAATTGACACATCTACCTCTCTACAAAGAAAAAATCTACTCTGTAAAGTAGGAGACCCCAGTGAAAGTGAGAAAAGTAACGAATGGGTAAAAAGTTATCTTTCAGTCTGTACTTCACTGACTTGAACAATATATAGTATCTACTCTGCCTCATTCTTTTTTTCTATAAAAAGAACATGATTTAGTAGTCCTGGAGTCAGAAAACTTGACTTTCAATTCAGCTCTTTCATCTGTTTGCAACAAGTCATCAATTTTAACTTGTCGTTTCCCCATGTACCTTACAGGCAGAAAATAAATCTTCCAGGGTTTCTGGAAAGATGAAATAATGTAAATGGAAATAAAGCAACTTTCTGCTCTATAACCTAGGATTCTAAGCCTTTGTTACTTATTGCTAGGATAAGAACATGGCTCTAACACTCAATAGTGTGCATGTGCAGATCAAGTAACATCCTCTTTCAGAATCAAGTGACATCAGACCCTGAAAATTCTGACAGAAAGCAGGAAATACTCTGAATGGATGTAGGCACCAACCTGCTGGTCGCTTGGTCAGATTGAGACAGTCTGCATGATAAACTTTCGGGCAGCCTGGCTTCTTGCAGGAGACGAGCTGACCAGCATCCCCACAGCTGAAACACTCATCCTCTCTCTCTTTTGTGACTTCACCTTGGCTCCTGCGCTTCCCCTGTTGCTTCTTCTTGAATTTCTTTGACTTTTCTTCAGTGACAATGGGTTGATTCTAGAGGTCAGACATTGATCAGTCAGTATCCTGTCAATAACTTAGGCATGCAATCTTGACTAGGTTAACTATCCTCTCACCTATTTCTTCTCTGCAAAAAGACAATACTCAGAAAACTGGGCCTGGCATGGTGGCACATACCTTTAATCCCAGCACTTGGGAGACAGAGGCAGGTGGATTTCTGAGTTCAAGGTCAGCCTGGTCTAGAAAGCAAGTTCCAAGCCAGATGGGTCTATAGGGTAACTCTGTCTCAAACAAACAGACAAACAATCAAACAAATGATTCAGAGAATGCTGCAAAGATGATAAAGAGAAAATGCAGGAAGGCACCTGTGTGTATTCTAGACAGCCATTCATGGCAGCATTAACTTTATTTTTTGTCTTTTTGAGACACAGTCTCCCTGTAGTTGCAGCTGGCCTGGAACTCCCTCTGTAGACCAGGCTGCCTTGACCTCACAAAGATCTACCTGCCTCTGCCTCCCAAGTGCTGAGATTAAAGGTGTGGGCCACCAGGCCTGGCTGGTAGCATTAACTTTAATCTTAATTGTTCTAGCTTTGACCTTTGGGAACTCTTTCATATGGTTCTCTCTTTGTGTCATAGCTCCATCACTGTATATTTTAGCACTGCTTTGATTTTTAAATAATTTATTCCCCATTTATTTGTGTATGCTATGGTACTCATGTGGCGGTCAGAGGGCAACTTGAGGGAGATAGCTCTCTCCTTCCATCTTTATGTGAGTTCTAAGGATCGAAGTCAGGTCACCAGCCTTGGTAGCAAGCACCCTTACCCACTGAACCATACTGCAGGCCTTGAAATAGCCATCCTCTTGCCTCTGCCTCCCTAGTGCTGGGATTACAGGAATGTGGAACCAAACCCAGTTACTTATCACTTTTGTATCAAATAGTCTTTAAAGTTGAACAAAAGAGAAAAATATACTTCTTTTTGTTAACACAGAAGCCTAGTATTAAAGACCACCTATTGTGTAATTTTTATTTGTGTACATGCCTATTTCAAAGCTAGAGATTTCTGTGTGTACATGTAATAATAATCCTTAATTTATTCAACAAACCTTCACTTAACACTGCTTAGGAAGACAGAAAATTAATTCAGCCTTTGTTCTGAACAAGGCATCTTTAGGTCAAATTAGGTTAATGTCTACAACTCCCAGTATAGACCTGGTCCAGCCAGCAGTAGGCTTAATTTTAAAGCTACTATTCTGACAGGCTAAAGTTCATTAATATCCATTGTGATCTCCATTTCTAACCTTGTGCTCTGGCACTTCATCCTGTTTCATAAGTGAAATTTCATACACACCTCCAGGATACAGAAATTTGATCCCATTAACTACAGGGTAAATGCAATTATTTAAACTTACAGGAAACGCATTAGCTATTTAGTAACCAACTAATGTAATACAGAAATGGTTTCCTTATTTAAGGAGACAAAATAACATTAACAGGTATTTCGCATTTTCACTTACTGTTGGTCAAAATGATTTATTCCTCATATTGATTTCTGTGCATTTTTCATTCTGTATTGCTGATCTGCATAACAAACCTAACTGAAATACCCATTAGGTATCACAGGATAGCTGGACTCAGTGGTGGTACACACCTTTACTAGTACTCGGGAGGCAGAGGCAGGCAGATCTCTGTGAGATAGAGGCCAGCCTGGTCTACATAGTGAGTTCCAGGCCAGCTTTGGCTACAGGGAGATCCTACCTCAAAAAAAAAAAAAAAAAAAGACCAAACAAACAAACATGAAACAAAGAGTCATGGGGTAGCCTACTTTGAACCTAAATTAAACTTCAATTTTCGGTGCCATTATTATTTACGAGGGAAATACTGAAGCATCTAAGGTGTTCACTACCTATTATAGTCAGACCATTATATAAACAACCGCTAAAAAATGATGGCTAAGTTGGGCATGGTGGAGCATAGCTTTAATCCAAACACTTGGGATACAGAATCAAGCAGATTTATTTGAGTTTCAGGCCAGCCTGGTCAACATAGTGAGACCTTTTCTTCCCCCCCCCGCCACCCCCCAAAAAAGATGATATGCTCACTTCAACAGCAGCACTATACTACAATTGGAATGATATAGAGATTAGCATGGCTCTTTTGCAACGATGGCATACAAATCCGAGAAGCATTTCACATTTAAAAAAAAAAGATGGTTAAGATCACATAGGACAGGTGGGATAAAAGTTTATAAATGAAAAGAAAAATACCAGGAGCTAAAGAAATGGGTCAGCAGGTAAAGACACTTGCTGCCAAGCCTGAAAGCTCTGGAAAAAACTACCTTAAGTTGTTCTGTGACATACATACACAAAATAAACATATGTTAAAACAACAACACAATGAAACCAACAAGGTATTGGAGTCTACACCTGTAATCCCAGCACTCAGGAGGCAGAAGTAAGAATAAGCTTCAAGAGTTCAAGGCTATGAGCCTCTTAAAAAAAGTCTGTAAATGAACCTTAAAAGTTGTAACATTAAGCCAGGTATGGTGGCACAATCCTTTAATTCCAGCACTCAGGAGGCAGAGGCAGATGGATTTCTGAGATCAAGGTCAGCCTGGTCTATATAGTTTATATAGTTTCAGGCCAACTGTGGCTACAGGGAGACCTTGTCTCAAAAAAGAAAAAAAATTATTGCATTGCAACTCAAAGTGTGTATCAACACAGGAAGACAAAGTTTATATTTTGTTATAACAATGGGATTAAGAGAGAGAGTGTGTGTGTGTATATGTATATATGGTGGTGCTGAGGATTGAACCTGGGACTTTGTACAGGCCAAGAAAACATCCTATCACTAAACTAAATCTTCAGTCTAGTATTCTACTTGTATCTATAGGGATATACTGTGATAAACTGTATTTTCTTTGATACCTCTAGAAAGAAAAACAATCACAGACACCTGGAGGATTTTAGTAGCTTATCAGAAGGTATGACAAAGATGTAGGAAGTAACCTACTTCAGTTTTTGTGGCTAACAACTAGATCATGAGAATGCTCAGTAAACTGTCAGTGGCACTACTGATAATCAATTTCATTATTTCAAAGAAGCAGCTTCTTAAAATGAAGACTTGTCCCTAACATTGTCAGGAAAGGAGGACTGTACCAGTGTCCCCAATGTACAAGGTTGGAAGGCAGTACCTTTGGCCTCACACCCAAGAAGCCACTGCAGTTCGGAGCTCCACATTTGCAAACTGTTTTTCCATTCCCAAGACACTCTAGGTTGTAATTGAAGGTAAGTTCAGTGCCTGCATAAGAGACCACAAAAATATTTATATCTATGGTTACATTATTAATTTGTTAATTACAAAGGATATTAACTTTTATAAGAATAATTTTAAAGAGGACAAAAAAGGATTTATTCTAACAATCCTATATTGTTAGCGAATTCATTTTAATAACCAAGAAACTTAAATGGCTTAATATTTAAAATAACTTTACCTGTGAGGCATTATCTCATTTTTTTCCCGTTTTCTAAACATTTAGATTCAAAATATACTAACTCAATAAAACCAACTTAATGCCAGCAGGGCAGTACACATTTATAATCTCAGCATTGAAAAGCAGAGGCAGGAGGATCACTGCAAGTTTGTGACCAGTTTGGTCTACACAGCACACTAGCACTCAATAATATAGAGACTATATCTCCACTACAAAACAACACAACAACAACATCATGTTGTTGGGATGAGGAGACAGCTCAGTGGGTAAATGTACTTGTTATGTAGGCATGAAGAACTGAGAATTTCTTGAGCCCACAGAAAAGCTAGATGAGGGTGGAGACTGGAGAGAGAATTAATTACTAGAAGCTCATGGGCCAGCTAGCTTGGCATATGCAGCAGAAAACCAACAAAGAAACCCTATCTCAAAATAAGATAGAAGGTGGGAACCAACATTTGAAGTTGTCCTTTGACATTCACAGGCTTACTATGGCACCTGCACACGCGCACGTGCACACACACACACACACACCTTACTTTATCATTGTGCCAGGCATGGACATTACAAGTATGGCGAACACCTGCCAGCATGTATCCATGTGAGCACATCTTATCTGGAAGCACTCAAGGAAGAGATGCTTCAGTGCAGACTAATACTAATACCGGTGATACATGCCAGAACAGGGATGAGAGGACAACCTATATGAGAGGGGTTGGTTCTTTCCTTCTACCATGTGTGTTCTAAAAAAAAAGAGAGAGAAAAATCAAGTTCAGGGGAAAAAAAAAACAAAAAAAAACAAAATCCAAACTCAGGTCATCAGGCTTGGCTGGCAAGTGTCTTTACATGCTGAGCCATCTGGCCAGTTCTGACATAAATTCTAACAGTGTGAACAATAAAGCCAGGTTTTCATCTAATGTTGGAAATCTCTTTCTTTCTTTGGCTGAACTAACTATACAGCTAAGTCATTTATATTTACAGCTCATGTTGCAGGAATAAAAGAATAAAAAGATTCATTTGAGCTCATTAAGAGGCTCAGAACAAACTTACACAAACCAAGACCAATCAAGGTAACAGCAGGGTTGTGGCTCCCACCTCATGCCAGCTGCAGAATTACTGGCCTGAATATGTATGATGTTACTTAATCTAACCTCTTATGAAAAAATTATGAATAGAGGCTGGTGGTGAAGCACACGGAGGAGCAAATGCATAGCATCTATGATTTCCTAAATTTGGCTCAGCAGTTAAGAACCCTAGTTGTTCTTGCAGAAGACTCAGGTTTGAATACCAGCACCCACATGGCGGCTAACAACTGTCTGTAACTCCAGTCCCAGGGGATCTGACAGCCTCATCTAACTTCTGTGGGCATTGCATGACATGGGTGCACTTACCTACATGCAGGCAATACATGCACACACATAAAATAATAAATTTAAAAAAAAAAAGAACCTTTATGTGGTAGAGCCCAATGCTACGTCTTAAGGTTCAGCATTCATAAAGAAAACACTGATACCATTTTATATGAGTTCAGTATAGAATAAACCTTAATGTATCTGGAAAAGAGCCCCAGAGAACAAGGACACAAAGAGTGAGGACAGTGTACAAGAGAAAATATGTGAGAGGTGATGTAGGTAGGGCTTGGGAAGTTGGATAAAAAGGTCCAACTGTATCAGCTCAAACCTCACCTCTGATATAAACTTGGGCGGTTTATCACATTCTGTCTTATTTCCCCAATCAATGAACTGACTGGAAGCCAAGGTACAAGGCCCATGAATTCCAACATTAGGCTACTTAAATTGAGAGAATATAAGAAGAGAAACCTGTGGCTAGACATAGGAAGAATTGGCCATTCCCATGGATACAGAACAAAGGCTCTGAGTAGACATGTTATAATGAAAACAGTACTCAAGATATTAGACGATGATGGTATAATATTTGAGAAATCACTGATAAAAAGAGGTATAAGATTCAAGAATCTATAATCTATTATTACACAGTAATACTGACTGGCAAGTTATAAAGAAGAGAGATACTTTTGTTGGAGTCAAAGTTTTAAAACATGAGTATAAGGCCAGGAGTGGTGGCATACACCTTTAATCCCAGCACTGGGGAGGCAGAGGCAAGCAGATCTCTGTGAATTCAAGGCCAGCCTGGTCTGCATAGTGCATTCCAGGTCAGGTGGGTCTACCGGGAGACCTTAAAAAAAAAAAAAAAAAAAAAAAAAAAAAAAAAAACTTAAACATTTAAAAAAAGATGAGTATAATTTTTAGACAAGCAGAACACACAGTTTCATATTCAAATTTTGTTATCTTCACTTAATAATTTATAGGCAGCAAATGCAAAATAAGGCAAAGGAACTAGTGGCTAAATTTTTAAAGTGTGAATTGTGTGAACTTCTAACACAGATGTTATGACATATGTGTAGATCCACAACACACACACACAAAAAGAATAAATTACTGCTGAGCAATATTTACACTGTAAAGATATATAAAGATACAGTATGCGGGGGTGTGTGCATGTGTAAGGAAGAGAAAACAACACATTAAAAAAACAACAGAGGGCTGGAGAGATGGCTCAGTGGTTAAGAGTACTTGCTGCTCTTTCAGAAGACCCAAGTTCAGCTCACAGCACCCATACTGGGGGCAAACAACTGCCTATAACTCCAGCTCCAGGGGACCCAACGTCCTCTCTGGCTTCTGCAGGCATTTGGATACACTAACACTGACACATAAACATAAATAAAAACAAATACAAAAAACAAACGCAAAAGAATATACACATAGAACATGGACTGGTCATATCTGCTTTACTTCTATCTATCATTCAAGCACCCACCCATCCATCTCGTGCAATGCCCAGAGAGGTCAGAAGTTATGGATGGTTTTTAGCCACCACGTGGGTGTTGGGAATTGAACTCAGGTCCTCTGCAAGAGCAGCGAATGCTCTGAACTGCTGAGCCATCTCCCAAGCCCATTAAATAAACACTTTAATACTTGTGGGGCTGGAGGCAGTGGAGGATGAGTGGTCGGTGACCAGGCACTGCCATCCTTGAGGTGCAGGCCACTGTGATTCTTGAAATCATGAATACTGTTTATAGCCCTGGATCTTCTGGGGTTCCCTATGCAAATGCCAAAGGAATTCAACTGGCTTCCCTGTGGGCTATGCAGCAGCTCCTGCCTATTCTCCTAACATGTGCCCAGGAGTGAATCCTACCTTCCAAATAGGCTACACTCCTGGCACACATTATAAAGTGTCCTGCTCCTGTCCTCCTACCCCAACCTCTACCAAACGGCTGTGTACCCCATGAGAAGTGCCTATACCCAGCAGAGCTCATATGCCCAGCAAGGTACATACTACACACAGCCACTGTATGTAGCACCCCCCATGTCATCCACCACACTACAGTGGTGCAGCCCAATGTAGATGCCAGTGACAGTCTACTCTCCTCGCATCCTTCCTCCTAGAGGCAATGAGGTCACCATGGCCATGGCAGCAGGTATCCTGCTGAGTGCTCATTCTCCAACTCCTGTTGTCCCTCACTGTGCCTATATACCAGGGCCCAGCAACACAGACCTACAGCTATATGCCCCCTTAGTGGTGATAACCCTGAAAATTAATATTTGAGGATGGAGCTGTGCAGCCACATCATTGAGTTCCACAGCTGGGTGCTGCAGGCCTTATGTCTCCAACCAGGACTTTCTCTTTGTTTTTTTTTGTGGTTGTTTTTTTTTTGGGGGGGGGGTCCTTTCTGAGACAAGGTCTTCCTATAGACCCAGCTGGCCTCAAACTCACAGAGATTTGCCTGCCACTGCCTCCCAAGTGCTAGGATTAAAGGCATTCGTCACCATGCCCACCTGGCTCAGGACTTTCTTCTTAATGCTCTCAACATTTAGCTAAACACCAGCCCAGCAGGTCCCAGCACCACTAGTCTCCAACTAACTCTGTGGGTTGGTCTTAAAGCAAACCCCGTTTTGTGGACTGCCTGGTAATTTTTTTAGCTAACTAGTGATAAAAAGGGAGTATTGGGGCTAGAGAGATGGTTCAGTGGTTATGCACTGAATGCTCTAGCAGAGGACGGATGTTCAATTCCCAGCACCCACACGGTGACTACGAACTGTCTTTAACTCCAGTTCCAAAGGAATCAGACGCCCTCTTCTGACCTCGGCGGCACTGCACAACACAGGTGCACTCACATACATGCAGGCAATACACTCGTCATACACATAAAATAAAAATAAATATTTTTTAAAAGGGAGCATTAATATATTCTGGAAAAAAAAACAAAAAACCTCAAAAAAAAACCCTTAATACGTGTTCTGGTTACAATTATCTCACTCCTGCATTTTTACAGAGACACAGGGTACCAAAGCAGACCATGACAGAGTTGGACAATCAAACTACCAGTTCTTAGGTATCTCAGAAAGAGTTGGGTTTATTTTAACATAAGGGTAAATTCAATAGTAAGGTACTTGCCTAGTATACAATGAGGGACTGGGTTTGATACCCAACACCACAAAATGGGGGAGAGGAAACAGACAATCAGATATGGATGATTGAGAGGTGTATCTTTGGTAGTTATAGTAACATTACAGCAAATATGGAAGGAAAGATGAAAAAGACTTGGGAGAACTATCAATTTCTAAGGCAGGCCAGTTGTTTTTTTTGGGGGGAGGGGGTTGTATTAAAGTTCAAGGCCTAGAAGGATCTGGAGAGATGGTTCATTGGTTAAGAGCATTGGGTGCTCTTGTAGTGCACTGGGGTGGGGGTGGGGGTGTAGTTTGGTTCCCAGTACCCACATAGTAGTTAATACCACCTACAACCCCACTCTTCTGGCCTCTGAGAGCACTGTATAACATGAGGACACTTATATATATGCAGGTACAACACTTATGTACATAAAATAAAAACAATTTTTTTTTGGTCTTTTTGAGACTGGGTCTCCCTGTAGCCCCAGATGGCCTGGATGTAGATCAAGCTGGCCTTGAACTCACAGATATCTGCCTGCCTCTGCCTCCCAAGTGCTGGGACTAAAGGCGTGTGCCACCATGCCCGGCCAATTAAAAAAAAATTTTTTTTTTAAATAAAAAAAAAAAATTTAAAGGCCTAGAAACTTGTTCCCTTAAGCCCACTCATGTTCAACCATAAAGGCATTATGCTACATGAAAGACTGGTCACAAAAGGGCAGGTATATTTTTTGTTTTATTTTATGTGTATGAGTGTTATACCTGCATGTAAATGCACCCATGTAATTCAGTACCCATGAATGCCAGAAGAGGGGATTGGCTCCCCTGGAACTGGAGTTATGGACGGTTGTTAGCCACTATGTGGGTTCTAGAAATCGAACTCAGGTCCTCTGGAAGACCAGTCAATGTTCATAACCACAGAACCATCCCTCCAGCCCCCTCCACCCAAGAACAGGTATTATATGATTATAATAAAAGTTCTCACAAAAAATCCAGAGATAGAATTTGGTGATTAGGAAGGGATATTGGGGAGAGAATAGGAACACTTTTTGAACTGCACAGCCAAAATGGTTAAAATTACCACTTTTATGTCTATTAAATCAAAAAATAAAAACAAAATGAAATAAACAATAAAAAAAGTATACCCATGTACCTTCTAGAAAACTTTGCATGTCTATGTATCCTTGGAAATTGGAGAGTTCCCTTTGAGTAGAGGTCAAGTAAGAATTTTAAATAAGGGGGCTAGAGAGATAGTTCAGCAGTTAAGAGCACTGACTGCTCTTGCAGAGGACTCGGGTTCGATTTCCAGCACCCACATGGCAGCTATGAATCATCCTTAACTCTAGTTCCAGGGGAATCTGAAGCCCTCTTCTGACCGCTGTGGCACTGTACAACACAGGTGCACTCACATACATGCAGGCAATATATTCATATATATAAAATAAAAAGAATAAATAGCTGGGCGTGGTGGTGCACACCTTTAATCCCAGCACTGGGGAGGCAAAGGTAGGCAGATCTCTGTGAGGTCAAGGCCAGCCTGGTCTACATAGTGAGTTCCAGGACAGCTGGGGCTACAGGGAGACCCTGTC